TAGAGAAGAAAGCAAAAGCAGAATCAGACACGGAATTCATACTGCGAAGGATGGATTCCTGCTTCTGGACGTTGATTGGCACTTCTCCAAGCTCAAACTGGCCTCCAATGGTGTTGAAGATCAATCTAGGGCACTTGGGAACTCTTGCTCGTCACTTTCTCTCTCTAGGAACTGATCTCTCTCTCAAAAACTCGAATCCTCCCGAATTGTGGCTGAAATTCTGCTTAAAAGGAGAAAATCCCGACTCACACGGCCAGGGTGGCACGGCCGTGCAGCTCACCCAGTTGCCCGTGTGAGTCAAAACGCATCGTTTCATTTAGTTCGAATTCCAGGCTCTTTGCACGGCCAGAATGGCACGGCCGAGTGGACATCCCCTCTTGCCCGTGTTTGCTCTCGCAGAATGTGGCACGGCCAACCCGGCCACTTGCACGGCCGTGTCGATCCTCTGATCTGCCCGTGTGTGCTCTCGGCAAAACTCGCACGGCCAGGCCATTACTTCACATGGCCGTGTGAACATCAGGGCAGCCCGTGTGACCTCCTTTGTGACTTGTCTCGCGCCCGATCTTCACCCAATCGACCCCGAACTCGCTCCTAAACCTTCATTCACTTGCCAGGACCTGAAATATCACAAACAAGCACAACCTAGCGTGAAATCGGTCTAAAACACGAGAAACCACATCTCAAACGGTGTAAGAACAGGGGTGAAAACATGTGTAACTAACGGTCTATCAACCCTTCAACTCAACGTTCGCCTTTTGACCCACAACTCATTCATTATTCGCCTTAACGTTAACGCCACACCCCTAAATATGACATAAACACACAACCTAGCGAGAAATCGGCTTAAAACATGGGAATCAACATCTCAAACGGCTCAAGAATGGAGGTAAAAATAAGTGCAATCAATGGTCTATCAATCCTCCTTCTGCAGGAATTTGATATCGAGATCGGGGATTAGAAGGGAGCCGAAAATGTTGTTGCCGATCATCTTTCACGGTTGGAAGCCCCTCCGGTGGACAACTTCGTGGAAGAAATCAACGACTCCTTCACGGGTGAGCGATTGTTGGCGATGACCTTGGTAGAGAGCATGGCCCCTTGGTATTCTGACTTTTCCAATTATATGGTCGGCAAGCAGCTACCAAAGGGGATGGCCACTCATGCAAAGCGCAAGTTCTTCTCCGACCTGAAGCATTACTTTTGGGAGGATCCTTACCTCTAATGGATCGGAGCAGATGGCGTGATCCGGCGCTGCGTAATAGAGCACGAGATGGGAGACATCCTGTCTCAATGCCACGAGGGACCAACGGGCGGTCACCATGGAGGGAACCGCACGGCGCGGAAGGTGCTACAGTCGGGCTTCTACTGGCCCTCACTCTTCAAGTATGCAGACTCCTTCGCACGACAGTGCAACTGCTGCCAGAGGTCAGTTAACATTTCTTCCTGGGATGAGATGCCCCAACATATATCTGTCGTTTGTGAAACTTTTGATGTTTGGGGCATTGATTTCACAGGCCCATTCCCTCCATCTTTTGGAAATCTGTACATACTTAATGCAGTAGACTAAGTCTCGAGGCGGGAAGAAGCTCAAGCCATGCCCACCAATGATGCAAGACGGGTCTGCTCATTTCTGAAGCAGCTGTTCTCCCAGTTCAGGACACCTTGTGCCATCATAAGTGATAGAGGAACCCATTTTCAAGGGCAATTCCTTAAGATCCTCTCTCGCTATGGTGTTAAGCATTAGGTGTCGGTGGCTTAGCATCCCCAAACAAATGGTCAAGCCGAGATGATGAACCGGGAGCTTAAAAGAATAATCCAAAAGACGGTGGATCAGTCCTGCAAGGATTGGTCCACCAAGCTCGATGATGCTCTCTGGACATATATGCTGCCTACAAAAACCCGATTGGTACTTCACCCTATAGGCTTGTCTATGGGAAGGCGTGTCATTTTCCAGTAGAGCTAGAGCACAAGGCCTTTTGGGCCCTTAAGCTGCTAAATCTGGATTTGAATGTTGCATGTACTGAATGTAAGCTGCAACTACTGGAGTTGGAGGAATGGTGTTACCACGCCTACGAGAACGCCCTACTCTACAAGGAGCGAACCAAGCGTCTCCACAACGCTCGGTTGAAGGGCCTGAAGGAGTTTCAGGTAGGTGATCGTGTTTTGCTCTTTAATGCATGCCTGAAACTCTTTCCGGGCAAGCTGCGTTCGAGGTGGTCGGGACCCTTCACCATCACCCAAGTATTCTCGCACGGTGCGGTAGAGATCAGCAATGCTCAAACTGAACCGTTCAAAGTGAACAGCTACCTCTTAAAGTTTTACTTGGGAGGTGATGTCGAGCGCGCAGAGCTGCTGATCAAACTCGAGGACCCTTAGTTTCTCTACTGGCATCCAGCTAAAAGATGATAAAGAAGCGCCACCATGGTTTGCATTTCTTTCCCTTTTTCATTTTCGATTTGTCGGTTTTTGAGTCACTTAGTCGGTCTGGAGTCTGTCTGGAAAGTATTTCGTGCCCATGGTAGTCTCTTTTCATGTGTGGTTGTGCAATTTTCGAGTCGGGGCATGAATGAGGTTTGGTTGTTTGAAAAACTAACTTTGAAATTTTGCAGAGGCAGCCTCGGCAGTGAAAACACGAGCGCCATGGGTTGAAAACACGGCCGTGTTTTTAGACCTGCCCGCCCGTGTTTTAGGATCTCCACCTGTGCAAGCCTCAGGAGTTAAAACACGGGCGCCAGGGGTTGAAAATACGGCCGTGTTTTCACCCCTGCCCGCCCGTTTTTTATTGCCTGGGGGAGAGAGTCTCGGCAGTTAAAACAATGGCGCAGAGCACCAGAAACACAATCGTGTTTTGCCCCCCCCCCTCCCCGTATTTTATCCCCCCCCCCCAAATAAATATCAATTTTTCGGCATCCCCCCTCCTCCCCCCCCCCCCCCCCCCCCCGATCTCATTTTTTTCAAATCCCAGCCCCTCCCCTCGCCGGAAAATCAGCCTCTTCCCCTTCTCTGGTGGTTTTCCGGCCACAACTCCCTCCCCCGACCTCCAAATCACAAACCGAAACCACCCCTACGCTCCTGGAGACGGGAAGCACATTCCCCAGAAGTTTGGTCTTGTTTGGTGGCAGTTGGGTCGCCGGCTGCGAGCTCTCCGGAGATACTTCCTGCGAGTTTTCCGGCGGTTTTGGAGTGCTTGTGCTCTTTTCTTCACCTTCCCTTTGGTATCTACTTGCGTCTCCAGGTTTGTTCTCGTTGTCTCTTAGTCAATTTTTGGAGAATTGATACCTAGGGTTATAGGTGAAGAACTTAAAATTTTGGCATGAACTTAGATCGATTGGTAGGCCGATAGGGACGTATGCCTAAAGTAATTGTTCTCCTGCATTGATTTTGTCGGCCTACCACTTGTATGTTAGCATTGTGCCCCTGTATGCTTGGTTGGACATTGTTTGGTGAATTGCCGATTGGATGGATGTTTGGGATTGGATTGTATGTTTATTCCACCGGGAGCCTAGCCCACTGTCCAAATCTTCCGATTTGAGGGCTCCCGGTGTGGTTTGGCCTAACCTTAACCCCCGCCGGAGAGGTGGCGTTCCGGTTGGGCGCCTCCCGGAGCTTTGAAGGTCCCTTCTGTTTGGAAATTTCTTCTGACTCATTTCCCCATCGTTGTCCGGAGACGAAGCTGTCTGCTAGCCAGGAGCGATTCTAGCTTGGGGATCTTGAAATTTTCATTTTCCTGGTTAAGTGCAACTGTGACGCAGGAACATGGATGTGGAAGCTCGGGCGACTTGTTGCTGCTTCGAATTTCCGCCGAGCGCGGCCTTTCTCCACCGCCATCCCATTGCTCTGTATCGTCCACAAACGCGGCGCCGACATCCTTCACAATCCTTGGTTCAACAAGGTTCGGAACCTCGCTTCCCCTCTTCCTTGCTTAGCTACACGAGTTTTGTTTATATAGTTTTGAGGTTGATCGTTATCAGGCCGTTTTCCATTTCTTATGGCGATTTCCCGAGTTCTCCAATTTAGCTGGATTGTTGAATTCCAAGGATTTGGGAGATGTTAGTGTTGGTAATGTAAGACTTGGAACGATTTTGAATAGCACTTGCCTCAGGAGTTTGAGGGTTTCAATGTAGGTGTGAGAGTGCCCCTGGAATACAGACAATCAAAGTGGAATGTGAAATGATTTCTTGTCGACTGATAATACTCGTAACCCCCTGCGGGGAAGATCGACGACTGATAATACTAGTAATTCCCTACGGGGAATATCGTATTAACCATCTCCACCAAATCGAACTGCCCATCCTCCTCTCCCGCCGAAGAAGAACAGTCCTGCAGCCCGAAAATCTTCACCAAATCGACGAAGCTGGGCGAGATCGGGAACAGGGGAGGGCAAAAGGGGGAATGAGGATCGAGCTCCGGGAGGCGCCCAGCCAGAACGCCACCTCTCCAGCTGTGGCTTCTTCTTCAGCCCCACTCAACGAAAGCGCGGAAGCGCAGTCCGGAACCGCGGTATTTTCTCCTCCGACGCGGAAACGTCTGAAGGTAACAGGTGGAAATTTTAAATTTTTAAATTTTTTAAATTTTTTAATTGTCATGTCATGCATTTAACGGTCAACTATAAGAGTTGACCGCCACATCAGCAAAAGTAAACGGAGACTAACAGCCAGTGATCAAACTTGGACTGTTAACCTAATTTAAGTGACTATAAATGGAATAAATTCATTTGAGTGGCAAACGTGAAATTTTGTAGCAATTCGAGTGACCAAACTTGAAATTAAGCCAAAATTTCTACAAACATTTAATCCATTGTTCGCCATTGCCCATTCTCTACAACAATTTCTGATATCAATATGTGGGTCTACATAGTCCTTGTATTGATTCATCTCCCAGTCCTCCTCACCCAAATCATCATCCATTTCACTCTCGACCGTCCGCAGCCGACAGCGGCGGCTAGATCCAATTCATGCGATGTCGTCGCCACCGAGGTAGTCCCGGTGGTGCACAAATAAGACATGTTCTTGAGCTTCATGGTAGGGGACACAGGGGACAATTTCACGAGCTATCTTTACGCAGCACTGCGGGGCCGACGGATCCTTACCTACATCGACAATGTGAGCCTCCGGCGAGGGGAGGCAATGTCAGAGTCGCTACTTAAGGAGATTCAAGAATCGAGGACGACGGTGGTGTTCTTGAAGAACTACACGAATTCGGAGTGGTGCCTGGACGAATTGGTGGAGATTCTCCGGTGCCAGAAGTGGCACAAGCAGGTGGTTTACCCGGTGTTCTTCCGGGTGAATCTCGACGATGTTGGGGAGCAGAAGGAGAGATACACGACAGCCATGATGAAGCATCAGAAGTCATTGTCAGCGTTGACCAAGCGGCGGCGACAGTGGCAGGCAGGATTCTTTCTTTACTTCTTCGTCCTTGCGGAGCGCAGAGCAAGGGTTAGGGCGATGGTTATTTGATTAGGGGTAAATTTGTAATTTCAGTCTAAGTTAGGGCGATGGTTTTCAAAATTTAGGGCGTTAATTAGTAACTCCCTTATATTAAACCATTGATTAAAGAAATAAAAATTAAATAAAAAGGTAAAAAAAAATGGCTATAGTGGGTTGCCGGTCACAAGCCACAACAAGTTACCTTTCTTGTTTTTTCCTTTTTCTACATTTATTTGCTTTCCTTATTTTATCATTTCCTTATTTTAATTCTTATTGAATTAGAAGCGTTATGTAAGCCTTCCGTAATAATTTAGCACTTTACGTAACGTGAGGTTAATACTCATTACGTAAAGGTTACGGAACAAGAGTTATTTCTTACGTAACAGTGAAATTAGAAGCGTTACGTAAAGCCTCCGGAATGACTTAGCTCTTTACGTAACACGACATTAATACTCATTACGTAAAGAGACCTTCTATTACGTAAGGCTACCGTAATGACATTTTACAACTGTTACGTAAAATACACATTCATTACGTAAAAGTTACGAAACGATAGTTATTCTTACGTAACAGTTAAATCGGAAGCGTTACATAAGGCTTCTATAATGATTTAACACTTTACGTAATGCGAGGTTAATACTCATTACGTAAAACCACCTTCCATTGCGTAAAGGTTACGTAACGACAGTTATTTCTTACGTAACAGTTAAATCAGTAGCGTTACGTAAAGCTTCCGTAATGACTTAGCATTTTACGTAACGTGAGGTTAATAGGGGTGTCAGTTTGGGTCGGGTTCGGTTACCCAAACTGAAACCCGAAAAAATCCGAAAACCCGAAACCGAAAATCACTAAAACCGAACCCGAACCCGATAAGGACTAGCGGGTTCCGGTTACCCGAAACCCGAAAACCCGAACGCCTAAAAATACGGTATGAGTTCTATTCATTGGAGGTTTTTAGCCGGAACCCGAAAAACTGATAAGCAAAACCGAACACGAAATCGAAAAAACCAAAACCCGAAACGAACCCGAAAAACCGAAAATGTATATAATTGGGTCGGTTTTGGATAAACCCGAATTGACACCCCTAGAAGTTAATACTCATTACGTAAAGATACATTCTATTACGTAAGGCTTCCGTAATGATTTTTCACAATTGTTACGTAAGATTACCATATGTTACGTAACCATTACGTAATGCTTATTGTATTTTACGTAATTCGACCTGTGAAACCTGCTATCGCAGGTAAAAAAAATTAAGAGGAAATCCCAATATATTAATATTAGACATATGAAATCAATATTGCCTACGGTATCTAAAAATCACACGGATGTGGGATGAATTTGCAAAATTTCTTCCCATAATAACGCGTATGGATTGAATTTCTAATTCTAAATGTGAGAATGAGGTTGGTTTAGAAGAACTCGTCCCAAGTTCATCTCATTCTGACATTCTCAACCCTAATGCGAGCAAATTAATGAGTAATAGGGTTTTGCGCCACAATCGACGGCGACTTAAATATGGGACCGGGTAGCTTTGCAGGCAGCGGCCAATCGGGATGTAACGCGTTTGAGAAGCCGTGAAATTTCTCTCTCCAATCCATTCCTGCGCCAGCCCATTTATGGCCGCACCGCAATTGGACCGGGGCCAAGATATTTATCATCCCAATCCATTCAAGGCCACACACCCACCATCACCCGTGACCTTTATTGCAGCTCGGCAACCGCTTGCTTGCTCCAGTGCTTGTAGTATAGAAAGGCGGAAATTTCTCGGAAAATGCATTCGTCTAACTGGCAACAAAATCCGAACTCATGGGTATGCACGCTACCCAAACTAAGCCGGTCAATGCGATAAAATTCATTTTTACGAGTTTTGGGAAGGGTTCGAGTGTATATCCAATATACTGTTTATCGGGTTTGGTGGATTGGGTTTGAGTTTAGGGATACTCAACGTACGGATATCCGCCCACACTTATTCCGTCGTCTTACTATGCCCAAATCCTACCCTAATTCTAATTTCTTCCAATCTAACTCTGCCCAAACCATACCCTAATTTTATTTCTTACCAATGTAATGTTTCCTCTTTCCCAAAAAAAAGTAGGAGAGATAAATTAATAATTAAAGATGAACACACCATGATTGTTGGTTTGCTACTCTCTCACAAACAAAAAGGGAATGAACGAAAAATAAAGAATTATTTGCTTTTATTTAGTGTAATTGTGATTTGTTTGAATTTTATATACTAGTGTTTTATGTATGGATAATATGTATGGGAAAAATGATGATTGACTTTTATTTTGATAGAAACTTGTCATTGCAAAATTTACCATAATTTTAAAATCTATTATGGGCTAATTACATGGTTGGTCACTGAGATTACAAAAAACATTCATGTTTGGTCACTCGAAATATTTAAATCCATTGGTGGTACTTCACTTTAAATAAACCGTTCATGTTTGGTCACTCTCCGTTAGTCGTCGTCCATCTCCGTTAACAGTATTCGTTAAGTGATGACATGACAGACGGAATCATCTAGTCAGCCCTATTTAATCCGAAAAGAGTGACCCGACCCGCCACGTCATCTGGACCAACCTTACCCTCTAACCAGTCAGACCCGACCCTTGAACCGACCCGACCCTTTCTCCCCTATCGTTCTTTCTCCGCAGCAATCACCGCCGCCCTTTCTCCCCATCAATTCACCGCCTTCTTGCTCTGCATCCGGCTCTATTCGAATCAATCAAGAAAAGTACTGAAATGAAACAAGGCCAGATCACGTCTCTTCACTTAACCATGGGAGTGAACAGTAGTAGATGGTGCAAACTCATTAAATCAAAACCCAGATTTGTTCACTTTTATCACAAAATGAGATCACCTAATATTCTAAAAACAGAGGGATGGAGGAAAATAGACCACTGATCGCTTATATGTGCTTCTCCATTGCCAAGGTGAAGAATGAGAAAAATAGACCACCGATAGTTTTTTGTAATCTCAGTGACCAACCATGTAATTAACCCAATATATTATGTTTCGGTACCTAACTATAATTTCTCTATGAAACCCAAACAAAAGAGAGGAGAAAAGGAAGGGAGTTGTTATCGCCTATGAATTGAATGAGATGTTATCATAATCAACGCATATTATTAAAGATGAAAGCCAAAACCCATTACTCCATTTCAAATTTCCTGCATTGTATTTTCCTTATTCTTCACCATCAAACCTCCAGAACAAAGATTATTAACCATCAGATGGAGGCTCTGTAATTCTCGGAAAGGCGATCTCAATAGCGACTCTCTCAGCTAGGGTTTCCTTCAGCCAGACATGTCGGCGGAACCTCCTCCGCCGGCCGAGGAGGCCATGGATGGCCCGTCTTCGGCAGATCCATTAGCGGGGCAACGGAGGCCACCCTCTGTGTCTTCCTCTCCCAACCCAAGGGGGACAGGGAAGCCCAGCAAAGCAAGAAGCAGGTGAAGCCCACCATAGCCGAACCCTAGATGAATGACGTCCAGATCGAGGATATAGCTGTTGAAAACGATCCAAGTAGCCGTAACCGTACCTACACGTCGTCGCCACATGCATGGGGAGCGGGAGTGGGGGCTCCTCGACGCCTGTTCGGCGACACGCAAAAAAGGGATGTTTGGTACGTTGAGGACTCGGACTCGGAGGACATAGCGGCAAGCATCAGGGAAGATGGAAGGGAAGAAGGTTTCGAGGAAGACAATGATCCACGCTGCCCACACATCCCCTTCACGGCTGCTGAAGAGCGACAGTACTGCAGAGAATGGCGTTCCGCGCTAGTCGTCAAAGCCCTGGGCCGTTCAGTGTCCTACACAGGAATATCGAAAAGACTCAATGACCAATGGGCTAGGGCGGGGGCATTCAAGTATCGTCGGCGAAGAATGGATACTATATGGTCAGATTTATGAGCGGGATAGATTATGAATGAGCCCTGAGTGGTGGTCCATGGATGATGGGGGACAACTACTTAACAGTTCACATGTGGGATAAACACTTCCGGCCCTACAATCATGAGATTTCGTCCACTTTGGTTTGGGCGCGACTACTGGACATCCCGATACACTTCTTCCACAGGGACGCAGTGATGAAAATTGGTAGCCGAATAGGCAAACCGCTACGGGTGGACCAAGCTACTGCTACAGGAGCTCGACTGGACTATGCTTGGGTGTGTTCAGGTGGATCTGACCGAACCACTTTTATCACAGTTCAAAATCCATGGGGTGACATATTACATCCAGTATGAGGGGCTCGAAAAAATTTGCCTTAACTGTGGCAAATATTTTGAGCGATCCAAATGCTACTGCACGACACCCGCTGAGTTGATGGAAACTGACAACTCTACTCCTCAGGAAAACTCACTGCCCAAAGAGCCGGAGAAACCCTATGGGGAGTGGATGATTGCCAAGAGAAAACCAAGAACAACCCGTAAAGAAAATGCTCTGGTGGGAAAGGAACCTGCGCGAACCCAGAATAGACAACAACCGGCGAGTGGCTCGCGTTTTAACGTCCTTGCGGATGAAGAGACAATAGAGGTAACAACCACGCCCGTCGAGGAGGATAACAGCAGGAAGAGTGCAGTCCGAAACCACCGACCCCAGGATCAATCCCACAGAGAACCTGGCCCTAAGATAACAACAGAGACCAATGTAGGGAGGGAGAAGGGTAAAGCCAAGGGAGCATGCTAACTGGGCACGTGAATGGTAATGTTACACAAGCCACCAAACATGTGCAGTTTGGAACCAGGGACTCTTCTCCTCAACAGAAGCAGGCCACTCATCTTGAGCACGACGGTGGGGAACAGAGATCACAACCGCCGCTCACGACGTCGAATCCCGTCTCTCCCATAAGTGCAACAACTGCGCAGGTTGGAGAATTAGCACAGACTAATGCTACCCTGGAGTCGGCTGCATGGGGTCGGCCGCCAAATCTGAGGGAACAGACCTTACAGCCCGACGGGACTTCCTAATATCAACCAGTGACACACAATGCGATCCAAACCTTGGATGGGACTACCACGCCAAGCGTCTAATACCAGGGAGTTCTCCGTTCCACCCTTTCTCTTTTAATGGATACAAAATTATTTGTTTGGAATTGTCGGGGTGCGGGCAATAGAAAATTCCTTCGAGCTTATAGAGAGTACAAGAGAAAGCATAGACCGAACATAGTAGTTATAGTGGAGCCTCGCATAAGTGGCATTACCGCCCAGGATGTCATAAATGAAATGGGTTTTGATAAACAAATTATAGTGGATGCTTCGAGTTTCTCGGGGGGCATTTGGGTACTTTGGAATGCTGGCGATCTCACCATTACTCAGATACATACTCACTCCCAGTTTATTTACATGCAGGTGGCAACCACGGGCAGGCCGGGTGACATATGGAACCTTACGGCAGTGTACGCTAGTCCCGTTCAAATGCATCGTAGACAACTTTGGGCGGCAATGAGGCAACTTGTTGAAGAACAAGAGCTACCTTGGCTGATCACAGGAGACTTTAACTCCATACTACACCCCTCGGAAAAGCTAGGAGGAGCTCCTTTTGATGCCAGCCGGATTCGCGAATTCCAAGACTGCGTCTACGATGCGGGACTAGTGGATATGGGTTTCATTGGACCACCGTATACCTGGTTCAGAAGCGGTATACGAGAGAGATTGGATCGCGCCCTAGCTAGCAACAGTTGGCTGACGGCATATCCGGAGACTACAGTTCGTCACTTGCCGAAGATCAAATCAGACCACAGGCCGCTGCTGATCTCAACAAACCCACCCCATCAACCGGCAGGACCAAAGCCTTTTCGGTTCCTTGTGCCGTGGTTGACTCATGAAGGTTTCAAGAATATGCTTCAAGAAGCGTGGGACAAAGGAAGCTCTTTCCTCCACTCAGCAGCGACCTTTGCTGTTGACGCTACCCACTGGAACTTCCACGTTTTCGGCCATATTCTCAGATGGAAGGATGCGCTCCTGAGAAAGATTGAGAGACTGGAACATCGCGATGGCAACTTGCACTCTTCTACTCAACTCGAGGATGCCAGAGAAGAACTCGAGATGGTTCTGTTCCAGGAGGAAATTCTTTTGTGCCAAAAGTCACGTCTCGAGTGGATCGCATCAGGAGATAAAAATACAGCATACTTCCACTCAAGAACACTGTCGCGACGAAAGAGGAACCGGGTCCTAGCTTTGCAAAATGCGGCAGGGGAGTGGGTTGATGAAGAGTCTGAACTTCAACAAATGGCAAGAGCATTCTTTAAGTGGTTGTACACGGATGAAAATGAGAATGCGATACCCCTGACTCGAGATTTCCCGGTGTTGGAATACAGTCTTTGGCAGGGTCTGAACGTGCGACCATCAACTGAGGACATCTTGCACTCAATCCGCTCGATGGGAGCTTTGAAAGCACCTGGCAAGGACGGTTTGAACCCCCTATTCTTCCAGAAATGCTGGGAGACGATTGGGAACTCTATATCAGACTTGATCCGTAGCTGCTGGGATGAGCCGACCAGGATTCGGGACATCAACTCCACCATCCTCGTCCTAATCCCAAAAATCATATCGCCGACGTCCATCGAGCAATTTCGACCCATCAGTTTGTGCAATGTTTCCTAAAAAGCTCTGACGAAGACAATTGCAGAGAAGCTGAAACCTCTCATGCCCAAGCTGGTTCACGAGACCCAAACAAGTTTTGTCCCTGGAAGACACATTACAGATAACATCTGTATCCTTCAGGAAGTTGTTCACTCTATGCGAGACAAGAAGGGTCGGAAAGGTTGGATGATCCTGAAGATCGACCTGGCAGAGGCTTATGACAGAATTCGTTGGGAGTTTGTCTGAGATACTCTTGAGGCAACAGGCGCTCCCACGAAGCTGATAGAGGTAACCATGGCTTGCATCACGACGTCCACGATGGAAATCCATTGGAATGGGGGCTTGACAAGCCCATTTTCCCCATCACGCGGCCTTCGACAGGGATGTCCCCTATCACCCTATCTCTTTACAATGTGTATGGAAAGATTGAGTCATCTTATTAACAAATCTGTTAGGGACGGGAGTTGGAAGCCGATCCAGCTGACCAGATCAGGACCGACCTTATCCCATTTATTTTTTGCAGATGATCTAATCTTGTTTGGCGAGGCTTCGTTGCAGCAACCCCAGGTGATCTCGCATTGCTTTGAGACCTTCAGAGCGGCCTCGGGACAGAGAGTAAGCAAACCGAAATCGAGGGTCTTCTTCTCGGGAAATGTGACGGCTGAAATCAGAGCTTCCCTAAGTACCAAGCTAGAAATCCCGTAGACGACGAACCTCGGCAGATACCTAGGAGTTCCGGTTATCCATGATCGTGTTTCAAAGGCAACCTACATTGAATTGATAGACAAGGTGGATAAAAGGCTGGCAGGATGGAAAGCTGAAACTATGAGCTTGGTAGGGCGGATTACTCTTGCCCAGTCTGTCCTGTCATCCCTACCATCTTACACCATGCAGACGTCTTTCCTCCCGGCTAGCGTCAGAGACTACATCGACAAAAAAATCAGAACGTTCATATGGGGAAGTACGGATGGAGGGAGGAAAGTGCATCTCGTGGATTGGGACACGATCTGCAGACCTAAAGAGGAAGGAGGCCTTGGTATGTGCTCGGCAACCCGAACAAACAAGGCGTACATGCTGAAAATCGTCTGGCGTCTCATCACCAACCCGGATGAGCTGTGGGCAAAGGTCATCCTTCATAAGTACACGCGGACTACGGAGGAAGGTCTGGTGCCACGCCGAACAGGGAAGGTCTCGAATATTTGGCGGGGATTTCTACGGGTTTGGCACAGAATAGAGGAAGCCTCGACATGGAATATCCGAAATGGTCGCCTCGCCCACTTCTGGAGCGACCGTTGGATTAATGACGGTGAACCTCTAGCGGCGTACTCCCAGGCAGTTCCCGAAGAAGCGAGAAACCTTCCAGTGGTGGACTTCGTGCTTAACGGTGAGTGGAATAGGGAATATATAAATCATTTCTTACCTGTTGATGTGGCCTCGCAGGTGTTCCTTCACCCGGTACCGACGGAGACAGAGGATGACGTGAGATGCTGGCGGTTCACTGCGAACGGCGAATTCTCACTCAAGATGGCGTATGAGATGCTGGGAGAAGAGGACAACTCGCACCTTCATAGACACCCGACATGGAGAGCAACCTGGCAGATCCCGGCGATGCATCGGATGCGCTCCTTCATGTGGCTGGTTAATCACCGCAAGCTCCTCACCAACGCAGAGCGGAAGCGCAGACACCTAACCGACAATGATGGCTGCAAAAAATGCGGTGGGGGGCCTGAAACTACACTTCATGTTCTTCGAGACTGCCCCTATGCAAGCGCTACGTGGGCGGAAGCACTCCTAGACGAACCCGACCATGATTTCTTCGAGCACAGCATTGAGAGATGGATCCTGCATTACACGACAGGCCGTGGCCGCACCATTGATAGCACCCTATTCACGACTATGTGCTGGCTGCTGTGGAAAAACCGGAACAATTACTGCTTCCAAGGTAAGTTGGATTCCTATGTGCATATTCAGGCTAGCTCGGTACAGATTCGGCTTCAAATCCTTAAAGCCTCGGAGAAAGAGCAACAGGTGTTCGGAGCCGGGGGACTCCGCACACCTACGATGATCCAGTGGCAGACACCTCAGCCTGGGTGGGCTTGCCTAAACACAGATGGCTCTGTGACTCTTTCTACTTCTAGCACAGCGGCCGGGGGAGTCGTCAGGAGGGACGACGGTCGTCTTGTCATTGCTTTCTCCATGAACCTGGGAGGGGGTTCCATCACTAGTGCCGAGTTAGCCGGTATTGTGCATGGGCTACAGCTTACTTGGGAAGCAGGAATTCGGAAGGTTATTCTGCAGACAGACTCGACCACGACTCTGTCACTTATCGATTCAGCGACACCACATCATTCACACTATTCACAGGTGGCCGCAATCCGACGATGGCTCCAGCGAGATTGGCAGGTCCAGCTTCAGCATGTCTATAGAGAGGCGAACGTGGTTGCCGACTTCCTAGCAAATCGAGGCCATTCCTTGCCGGTTGGCATCCATCGAGTCACAGCTCACGATAGGTCTCTTGCTTATTGGTTGTACCATGACTCTATTGGGGTTCAGACACCCCGTCTCATTATCGTATAAAGGTTGGGGCGCCCTTTAAGCGCTCCGTCTTTTCACCAAAAAAAAAAAAAAAAGAATTCCTGCATTGAGATTGAAAGTAGGAAGAACATATTTGTCTTCACAACTAAATATTTATTTCTTATTTATTCATAAAAAATATATACGAGAATTTGAACCATGACCAATTTTAAGAGAGGGGAGGGCTACAACCAATCACGCTACATATATTTATTGTATTTTTTAAAAGAAAAACATACACAAGCCTAAAAGCTAAAAAATTAGAAGACCTTTTCAGTGGTTAGTTAGCAACTAAATCTCTCATAAGTACTTATTTGGTGATTTGATACTTCGGCTTTTATATTTTTTATTATTTTAATTATATTTTAATACTTAATTTATATTTCAATGTATATCATAAACAAAGGATAACTTTAAAATTGCAACCCATATATCACTTTGTTGAATATTGCATATAAAATTAGAGTATTAAATAGGTCGAAGCAATGTCAAATTTTTAAATTAGTATTAATTTTTAGAATAAACTATGAAGAAATCATATCCTTATGCAGACTATATGGGACGGGTTTTTTTAACGTTTTAGTCGGGTTAATTGCTAAGCTTTCAACATGTTCCTAATCTAGCATGATTAGATCCAATGATCATTGTATGAGATTGAGCTTAATTATTGGTTCATTTCACCATTATTTGAGATGTTAATGAATTTCTAGGGCAATGACATCTGTGTACGTCTAAACACGATACAATATATAAGACTGGGATGAGAAAATATTTTCCCGTTTTAAATTCCTACAACGAGAGCGAAATATGAATGGTATATTTGCCTTCACAATTATTAAACTTATCTATTTGTAGAAAATAAACAAGTATTGGAATTTGAACCAATGTATCTTCCAAAAAAGACAAGAATCATAAGCCTGATTGTCAACCCAAGTTTGACATGGTTGGGCGAATCAGTTTTGTCAACCCGAGTATTTATTAGGATGTTGGAGGCCCATTTGGTTATCAACCAAACTTGGTCAAACTAAGAATACCAGTTGAATTAGGAAATCGAGTTGATTCAACTAACTCATCTAAGCACTGAGTCACTTCAAACCGACATCATTTTCAACAAATCTAATCACTAGCTCTGTTGACATGTCGTCCTTTTCCTTATCAAAGACCCATGCAGCAACATACATCAAGCACCCGTGTTCAGTTATCCCATAATATATTTTCCTTCTTTAGTATCGTCACGCAACAATACAAGTCACAATCATCTCAAAAGCGAACACAGTTCCGCAGCAGTCAATTCCATTTTCCTTCCAGCAATAAGGTCACATCGCCAATCAACCACATCTCAAACAAAGAATCTGCCACAAGATTAGACGAATATATATTTGGATTGAGACTTGGTGTGATTAACAAAGACGAATGTCCTCAATTGTATATATAAATGAAATCGAATTGGAGAAGAAGAGTAAGAACATTGAGAATGAAATATGATATGCAATGCAAAGAAGAAAAGAAAAAAACTAGAAAATGAAATGGAAAAAGATAAAAAGAAAGAGGGAAGAGATTTAGAATTAAAGCGTCATTTTAAAGATCAGTTCCAAGTGAGAGAAAAGTATAAAAATGAAACTCAATTCCAACGAATAAGTTATATTAAATTATCATTGTATCTAAATTCATCATAAAATTTCATAAATATCTAAGCATAATACATGTGAAATCAATAAAATTTTCATGCACCTGGGTAAAGCCATAAAGCTAGGCTTAACCAGGTTAATCCAATTCATCCATTAATCCTTAACCCACTAGCTTAAATGACTCATTGGTGGAATCGAGTGACAAATTAGACTGAACAAATTTGTTGTATATTTTTAATTGGTTATAGGTATAATATACTCCTCTATTATATATATATATATATATATATATATATATGGTGGCTACTTCGGTGCACTCACTTTTTTGGGTGCATTCAGTGCACCCACCTCTAAAAGTGGTCATAATACATCAAATTTTGAAATTTAATGGGTAACATTAGCCTCATATGATGATATAACACAGAATCACAACTAATCAACCCATTATCCTAACCTATTAACATTCAATTTTGAATCTAAACCCAAAATCCCAAATTGTAAACCCTAACCCTTACCCTAAGTTCCCAAACCCTGAATCATTCAAATTAAAGTGAATCTTGAATGATTTTTGTACAAATTCATGTGGTTCTTGTTCATCATACTACAAGGGATGATTGATATCATTTTTACATGAATCGTCTGCTCAAAATGACGATTATGAGGCCGATGAACTGAACGCACACAAAAAAGTGAGTGCACCGAAGACATAACCATATATATATATATATATGGCAAAGGCTAGCGTACGCCCGACGTACGTTATACATCTGTGTTCACACTCATAAATTAATTTTGATTTATAATTAAATTAATTGTAATTATAATTGCAACCACACCCGTTAATAAACATTTTTCTATGTTTTAGTCACACAACATTTTCTATCCTACATTATGCATAAATCAATCATCTCCTCACTTCTCCATCTGTTCCCAAAACCCTCAAAGAATGGCTTCTTCGTACTCGCCTTGGCCACTAGTCTTTCCGAGAGTCTCTTCTCTTCGACACCGCTTCCATTCTCCCCGGCGACATTGGGAATACGGGGAAGCAGCCTCTCCTCCTATCAGGTCCTACAACAATATGACTTCCAGGTGCGGATCCTGCCCAAAGGAGTCACAGAATAAGAAATCGACTGGGAAGTTTGAGTTGTACCTGCCAGAGACCTGCAAGTTCTCGATCAATTCTTACCAGCTTGAGTATGGGGTGACGGTCAGCGGCGTTGATAAGCAGATGGAGAATGGCAATCTGGAAGGCTTGATGGTGGCTCAACTTCGTCGAGATTGCCTCCATAAGCTCCCCCCTCGACGGGCTTTACGATAGCCTGGATTGCGGTTGTGGGTTCCATTGCGACAGATTGGGTCGCTGTTGGCTCTACTATTTCCTGGCTCTGAATTCTGATTTTGTAACGAGGTGAGTTAGTAGTATTAGGTAGACACATATATGAATGGTGATTGAATAATCAGGCGAAGCCATGTTGTAGGTTCTATTTAATCATTAAAATGAATTGAAAAGGGTCGATATGGTTCCCTGTTTATTGGAATCATGGCTGATCTTTCCTAAACCAGTTGGAAACTCTGTTTTAAGAACAAGTAAATGGTCTTCATATTCTCAATGGAGGGTAGTTATCAGCATCAATGGGACATGACAACAAGTAAATGGTCTTCATATTCTCAATGGAGGGTACGATTTATGAAGAGGGAGGTTATTCAGTTTCGTAAAGCTTGCCCAGGCAGTGCAATGAAGTTCCAAAAGTTCTCAAACCATCACTGTCCGTGTCAGTCACTCTCCCCCTATTGTCGTTCTGGAAAACAGAGGGCATATCTAGTATGTGACCTTGCTTCCTTTCCCATTACTTTACTTGCCGCCGGCGTCTGGTGGTCGGTGAAAAATTTTGGAAATGTTACCGGATCCCAGTAATCTATGGTTTGTTGGGTTAAAGCGATGGATGTAGAAACTTGTGCTCAGAGGCAGAGAAGGATGCATCTAGGTGAATATTAAGTCAATACATAAGGCCAATCAAAGCGATAGAGTCCATCACCAAATATTTTGGGTGTTTCAAATCATCGAGGACAGAAAGATGGTATTGAAAGTTATATAATCAATTTTTAAATGAAAGGTGAAGAATAACCACCGGTAACTTACGGGATCATAGCATATAGACAACAAACTTAAAGTATGTGATTGTAATTAGTTTTTAAAAATAATTAATTTAATTATAATTAATAATTACTTCAGGTGTGAACACAGGCGTATTGCGTGCACCAGGTATATATATATATATGGTGGTGTCTTCGGTACACTCACTTTTTTGGGTGCGTTCAGTGAACCCGCCTCATAATCGTCATTTTGCATAGGCGATTCCTGTCAAAACAATGTCAATCATTACTTGTGACATTATAGACATGAAACCCCATGAATTTACAAAAGAAATCATCGTATATTTACTTTGATTTGAATGATTTAAGAGTTAGGGATTTAGGGTTAGGGTTCACATTTTGGAATTTTGGGTTGGTGTTCAAAATTGAAGGTTTAGGGGTTAAGGTAATTGATTGATTAGTTGTGATCATTTATTATTTCATCGTATTATACTAATGCTACCAGTTAAAATTCAATTTTTTTTTTGCGTGAAGGGAGGCAAAAGCCGAGAACAAGTTACAGCAGGGCCCTACATGCCAGAAAGATGAGGCACCACAATCCGGCGCTCAAAAGCAATACCCATGGCATCTTCTCTAACAATAGAAGCTAACTCCGGGGGCGGGTTAGCAAACTCCTGTATACCGTAGGGATAGACGAGACTGTGCATCGAGAGCCAGTCTGCGACTCTATTCCCTTCCCGATATACATGAGTGATGCTAACCAACTAATCCTGACTAATCTTCCTACGAATCGCCGAGAGAAGGGTAGCATGAGGATGAACAGGGTCATTTCTATTGTTGATGAGCTAATATCTATGGCTAACTTTAGAGTTGGGTGCATTCAATGCACCCAAAAAAGTGAGTGCACCGAAGTAGCCACTATTATTCACTAATGCATGCAATTTCAGTTTCCAAACATATTTTACTCAAATACTTTTATATAACAATGAATGACTCCCTAAATTTTGCTTAGTTTTCATTGAAAGATTAGATGTTGTTAATTGATTTATGAGCTCAAATATACCTCCATACCACTAAAGCTACAATCATTGTGATCTTTAATTGTTCACAGGTTCATATTTATTAAGATTACTCTGCCAATGTTTACAGGTTCATATTTTGCTATGAAATTTAGATAAAGAAACTTTAAATCTCACACATTTAAAAGTAGGAGATGGAAACTATGTAAATAAGTGATTGCAAATTTACTATTTTGAAACCCAAAACTGAAGGTATTTAGATAATCTCATTTCACAGTAAATTAAAAAGTCTTTTGGGAAAGCGATGTCTTAACGTTGGATGTGGTGGTGAATGAACAACTAATGCCAAACGTTGCCTAAAAAATTCGCTCCACTATGAATTGCAAAAAAAATCTTTCCCAAACCCAATTTATTGCCAGTCAAATCATATTTGGTAATATCACTTGAAGGTCATACCAATAAGCGACTATTTAGTTTGAGTCTAAATTAGACCTATTACATTGCTACAAAAAAAAGAGTATCAACTCTAATGTAATTTTTTGCAATTTCTTTTTGTGTAACAAACATAAATGTGGAAACACCGATAACGTGTGTGAACTGGTTAATGTAAATAGCTAGATGGTCGATATTTCTTTATAGGTATAATTATATGGACTCAAATAGATTCAAATTGTGGGTTCGACCCAAATAAATGTTTTTCTGCTGTAGCTCTCTCCCCCATTCCAAAATTAGTAAATTAAAGTAATCTGGCCAACGGGCCGGGTCAAAGCTAGTAATCTTAATAAATATGTTATCATAACATGATCCTAACACTTCTCCTATCGTTACCCTAAAAAAAAAAAAAACACTTCCCATATCTAGTTCATTTTGATTTGGATGAAATGAACTATTGTGTAATTTGCATATGAAACCACAGATTTATTAAATTATATTACAAATTTTCTGAAACAGATCAGAAAAGTAGAGTTTGCAGTATCATTGTATTTATTCTTTTAAGATTACCCATATTCTTTATGTAAAAAATAACTAGTAGGTTTGGTTTGATTTGGTTGAACTATTACGTGTAAAAAGTTAATCGTCCCGTAACTTTTGTAAACGACATCCTAAAGGAATTCCATCTTCTAGAAAATATTATTAAATATCACTCTTTTTTTTGTCCCCCTCCACAAGACTTTGTATGTATAATTTGTACTTAGTCAAGCAAACACTGTCCAAAGAAAAGGAAACTAAATCGCATTTTCGAAAACTGAACTGAAAAAGAAAGAAAGTTGAAATATCCTAAAAGGCAATAGCTGTGTTACAAATCGACGTGAGAAAATTTCTCCGTTGTACAACACCGGCAGCCATCCCCGATCAGGCTGTTACCATTATTCGGTACAATAACATCCGATAAAATTAGAACGATATCATATATTTGCAGGAACAGCATGGAACCATTAAAAGTCTACCATATTATAAACCCGAATTCGAAAATTACCACAGAAAACCATGTGAAGTATCATTCATTGCGACATTAATTATTATTATTTTTTTTTACAATATCAAGGCAAAATCGCAATTAATACTCCAACAAAATATCACAGCTTGGTCTTCTTTAATGGTGGAGAGGGAGAGCAGCAACTGTTTTAGCAGGAGGCTGGTCATCAGGTTTCTTGAAAACCCTACTCCGGAACAGCAAGAACCCCAGCGAGTGTCCGGCCACGGCGGCCAGGAACACGCCGCCGTTGAAAGACATGACCGCCAGCATCACCAGGTAGCCCAGCCCGACCCGAACCGTGTGGGCTAGGGTCTGAGCCAGGCCCACGGAGGAGGAGGACGAGTTGGGCCCGGACGGCTTGACGAATCGGGAGTGGGAGAGGCCCTCGACGAGGAAAGCGAGGAAGAAGATGAAGACCAAGGCGAGCGCGTACATCCCGGTGCGAGATCCAGGCCAGCCGGCGAATAGCATCTCCGTGTTCTTCCCCCAAAAGAAAGTCATGTGCATCATCGTCTTCTTCGTCGGATGCTGCATCATCGTCGTCATATTGCTCGCCGGAGAGCCGCCGCCCATGCCTGACATGCCGCCGTGTCCCATGGAATCCATGATTTCTCTCTCTCTCTCTCTCTCTCTCTCTCAAAATATGTGGCCTTCTCTTTTCTGTGTGTGTATTTAAATTCTCGATGAGACGAGTGCTGGGTTTTAGACTTTAGTAGGCAGGCGGCGTGAAAACGGGGCTGAAAATGGGCCAAGTGGGGTGGAGATGAGTCGAGGTGTAAGGATAATTACATAATGGTGACAAAACTTTCAAGTTTATATAAAGAGTCATTAATATTTTTATTATTATTTTGTAAGATTCAGTAACATAGATTTGGGTGTATAATAAAATGGTAAGTTTCATCAATTTTAGCAATTTTGTTAGTAATATTGAATTGGCAACATGATACTGACTTGGGAGAGACTCATGAAGGTCAACATTCCAAAATTTTAATATTGTCACTAAGAAAAGAGTTACAAAATGATTAACGATAACGTAAAAATGGCTAATATTTTGATGCATTATGAAAGATTTGGATAGTAAATAAAATTTTAAATGGAAATGTATCACGGATATTGTTCAAACATTCTAGAGCATATTTTGCACCAATTCAAAAGTTTTCAAGCAACCAATTGACTCAACAAACCATAACATTCAGAATAATAGATGGAATAAGGGTTTGGATTTTTTGTCGAGCAAAAAATACAATTTTGGATTGGGAAAGATGATTATGAAATCAAAGGGATCGGAAAATCCCGGTACACCCAACGAGAGAGACAAGTGATGAACTTCTAATCTTTTTACTCCATTTTCTAAATTTTAAGATGGGTAATGTTTAATTTTTATTCAAACATTTTTAAGATTATTTTATATTGTTCAAACCTATTAAAATGCTATTAATTAGCCAAATATTTCGTAATGCATCAAAATATTAACCATTTTTACATTATCGTTAATAATTTTGTAACTGTTTTCTTAGTTAAAATACTAAAATTTTGGAATGTTGACTTTCATGTGTCTCTTCCAAGTCAGTATCATATTGCCAAGTCAATATTACTAACAAAATTGCTAACTGAAAGTTAACATTTGGCTAATTCTTAGTATTTCGATAGGTTTGGATAATATAAAAGAATCCGAAAAATGTTTGGATAAAATATAGACATTACCCTTTTAAGATTTATTCAGTTAGTTGGGTGCTTGAAAACTCTTGAATTGATCAAAATGAAGTACATAAGAATATACCATAGTGGTATGAATGATTGTAGAAATAAACTAACCATCATTTATCATCTTTCACTACTTTCTACCATCAGTTACCATCCTAGCTATTAGGGGTGGTATTGGTTTGACCAAATCGCCCCAAACCGCTTAAGCGGTCAATCCAAATAGCATCATTAAACTAACTGTTTCATTTGCGGTCTGATCGTTAAGCGCTTGGCGGTTCACGGTTCGGATTGACTCGAACCGCGTGGTTGCTGTTTGAAACCACAATCTGCTAATTCCTAATACGCCTAATCTAGGCCAAACGCCTCTTCTCAGTTCTCACCACACAACACAAGACAGCAGCTATCCTCTCGGCGACGACGCCATCTTCTCTCCGGCGGCACCATCTTCTCTCCACGGCGCCATCTTCTCTCCGGCAGCACCAGATCTGAGCATTCTCTCGTTCCGCCATCTTCTCTCCACGGCGCCATCTTCCCCAGCTTTGGCGGGCTGTCAAATACACCAAGAGGCGGGAGATTTCTAGGAATTAAGGCATCTCGATCTTTCCTATTCTCGAAGCTCCGGGGCTTTGGCCGACTGTCAAAAACACCAGTACCGGAGAAATCAGGTATGCTTTTCTCCTTTGATTCTATATTTGAAGTTACGGATCTAGGGCAGCTCTGTGTAAAGCTGCATCCAGTTGAAACCCATCCCCTACAAAATTCGATTATTGATCAACCTTTGGATTGTTTGGAAGTGGGTGATTCATGGTTGATAGTGAATAGTGTGATTTCCTCGAAACCCATATAGTCATGGTTTTCGTTCCCAATTCGTTGGAGAAAGAAGCCCTCTCCAGCTCTAGGGTCGCACTCAATTCCGAATCTCACTGTTGTTCTTGAGTCGTAGGGTTCTTACGCCACCTCATCAACCCTCGATTCCTCCTGGCCATCTTATTCTTTATTCTTTCTCATCCATTGCCCTCCACCACAGAATTAATTAATTGAAACCTCATGTTAATTACCCTCGTTTTAATTTAACCCATATAGTCCTCGAAACCCATATATTGTCATGGAGGGCGGTTGATAATGATCTTGAGCAAAGTTGTCAAACCGGTTTATGCCGGTGTGCCGGTTTTGTCAGTGGAATGGTCTGACCGTGGTACAACCAGTATTCATGCCGGTTGTGCCGGTTTTAATAAAATACATGAAGAAAATGGAAATCCTCAATTCCAAATAAATTAGTCATAAAAAGCAATTAGAAGAATTATTTCACACAAAATAATTTATAGCTAAGAATTTGTTGAGAAAGTGACTATAGTGAACTTGTAATGGATCTTCATCAGCCATCGTTTTATTCCCTTCAATAGTTTAGGTACAAAATGTGACTATAGTGAACTTGTGGAGTTACTGCAAGTGGGAGAGCATCATAGCAAATGGATATTTAGATTAGTGTTAATGACAGTTCAATATTCTAACTGTTTTATTTCATATGCTTGCAGGGCAAAATGAAATCAAAAGGCTCAAAGGAGAGAAAGAGGGATAAAAGAAAGAAGTTTCAGGAAGGTGGAAACTTGCTGTGGGCGAGAAAGAGAGGTGAAACATAGACACTATGTTTGGCAACAAGGGGGGTGCAAGTTCGAGGGGGGTACAAGTTGAGGGGTAAATTGTTGGGGGGTGCAACTTGGTGGAGGGTGTAAGTGGAGGGGTAAATTGTTGTTTGGATGAAAAAGTAGGGGGGTGCAAATAGAGTAAAAAGTAAGTAATTATATTATTATAAAATAGATTTATCAATTTATAAAATATTATCACAAAATAATAACATGAAAATTCAATATATAATAATAAAAATAATAAATAAAAATAATAAATAATAAATAAAAATAATTTTAATAAAAATAATTATTATATAATAATGCTCAAATATAATTATTTATAGCAACACTAATAATCATTGGTCGAGCAACCTCGAAACTCGAAATCCAACTCGTAACTGGTCATCCTAAGGGGGTTCTCGTGCCTAACTTTAAATTGAATATGGTCAAACTTAGTCAAACACGTTCGAATCTGTAAGTTTTAACTACTTATTAAAGTAAATCGAGTTAACTAAACTGTTCCTCTCTATCTTTTCAACAAATGCTTCTTATCTCTAATTTTCAATGCAAATTCGGGTCAACTAAGAGATATCGATTTGACGAGGCGAACATTGACAAACTTGCTCTCTGAGTCAAACGGTCAACCCCAAACAACTTCTACACTAATATAGATATAAGAAAAAATTAATAATATTAATTATTATGTAATTATAATCTAATTAAAAATTCATAATTCCCCTCCTCCCCCTTCCCCCTCCCTTCCTTCCTTCCCTTGCACCCCAATTTGGGGGGTAAGCCGAAACAGTGAATTTACGCTCACGTTTTGCACCCCCCTACTGTTACAAAATAACCAAACGGGGGTAAACACCTTGGAACTTGTGTTTACCCCTCCAAACTTGCACCCCCTTCCATTTACACCCCTTCCCAAACATAGTGAGAGAGAAAGAGAAAGCAAATTAAACTCAATGCTAGGAGAAAAAAGTCTTTGTTGTCGGGAAAAGTGACGAGAAGAGGGGGAAAAAGTACAGTAGTCTCATCAAGTCCCACCAATGGAAGTGACTTTACCAAACAACAAGTGGTAGTTTGTTCTTTTAAATAACTTGATAAAGCGTACCGGGTTTTCAACAAAAAAACCACACCCGCCCAACCCGTCAATTACAAAACTGGGTAAAAAAACTCGTTAGGTAAAACTCGTCCCGACCCAAAAAATTTCAACACTGGATCCAACTCGCTTTGACCGGCTTGATAAAGCGGGGCGAGATTTTTAACAAAATCCACACCCGACCCATCAAAAGCGGATAAAATTTGTTCCCGACCCAAAATTCGGCAACACCGGGACCGGGTTGAATTAGGTTGAATATAGTTCTTAACAAAAGGCACACCCGACCCAATTTGTTATTTACAAAAGTTGATAAAATTTGTTGCTGACCAAAAGTTCGGCAACACTGAAACGAATCGAATTAGATCGAGTACACAAGAATTTAGGTACAATTGTAATGAATAGAAATAATTAAAACATAAGATTAATGGATTTATTAATAAAAAGTAAAAAGTAAACAATAAAAAAATCATTGTTGATGTGACTATAAGTAATAGTGCACATCTTACTTGGTCAAGCAAAAGTATTTAACAAAGCGATCTCGTAGGAAAATCGAAGCAAGGCAAAAGGTAGGAAAGCAACAAAGAAATCGGTAACGACAACTGTAAAGCGGTCCTGAACATAATAATCTTCTGCATACTGCGCTCACAACACAAAAAGTGAAGTCGAGTAAAAATCGGTAACGACAACTGTAAAGCGGTCTTGAACATAATAATCTTTTGCATACTGCGCTCACAACACAAAAAGCGAAGTCGAGTAAAAGGAACGTTTTCGTAGGAAAATTGAAGTAAGGCTAAAGGTAGGAAAGCAAAAAAGAAATCGGTACCGACAATTGTAAAGCGGTACGAACCCAATAATCTTTTGCGTGTTGCGTTTACAACACAAAAAGCGAAGTTGGACAACAGACACTAAACGCAACAAACGCGGAAGCAAATGAATCAAACGGTCATAGTAAATAAAATAAAACAAAAAGATAAGTTTCTGCATGTTGCGCTTACAACACAAAAAGTGAAGTCGAGCAAAAGGTACGTTTTCGCTGGGAAATCGAAGGAAGGCAAAAGGCAGAAAAGCAACAAAGAAATCGGCAACGACAATTGTAAAGCGGTCTCGAACATGTTGTGTTTAAAACACAAAAAAGCGAAGTCGAGCAACAGACACAAACGCATCAAATGCGAAAGTAAACGAACTAACGATCATAGAAAACTAAAAGACAATAACAAAAAGGGCCACAAACCAATCATTTGCATGATGTGACTATAATTAATAGTGCACCTTCTACTTGTTCTTTA